TGCTTGGGATGACGGCCCAGGGCTTTCTGCCGTCCACGCGAAACTCCAGGCGACTGGTGAGCGCCGCCGTGCTCGTCTATGAGTTTTGCGTTCTGGCACAGCTTCTCGCTCTGACGCCTTGGACATCACATGCAGACTCATCGTCCTAGGGCTCCTGGGCAAGATGCCGCAGCCGACTCCTCTGCACACTTGCTGCGGCGATTAGCGCGCTCGCCGCGCCGACGGAGCCCGCCGACAAGATGACACGCAACGCACCCGACACGACGGGGAAGATGCATAACCCCACCATCTCAAGCCAGCGAGCCGAGGACGCGCGCAACTTCAGTAGGAACTCCGCCAAGGACGGCCGGTCCACATTCGCTGTCGCCCATCGACGCCTGCGGCCCCGCTTCCGTTGCGAATCGAAAAAAGGGCCAGACATTCACGGACCGCCGGCCTCGCATCATTTCGGCGGCAGGTCGGTCGGCAGCAGCGGCCTCGGCGCCTTCGCCTGGACTTTCCGAGGGCCCGACGATGTCCTCTTCTTGCGCAGCGCACGTGCGACGAAGGCACGACCAGCATCTCGGTCGAGCTCGACGACAAGGGTACTGACTACGCCAAGCTTTCTGATCACAAGGGTGCAAATCGCCGTCCAGATTCGCCAGCCCTGTCGGCGATGCACCAGACTGCTCGGATTCAATCATTTCCCTTCCTTCCATTCGAGTAAACTGTTTGCCTGCGCGCGGGGCATCCGTGGCCCTTTGATTTCGGCTCAGAATGCAAGTTGGCCAGTCAGCGCTTGCATCGTCCCCCCCCTTGCTCGCAGGTCTCTCGAAACCAAGAAGCACGCGGACATGCAGGCGACGCAGGTGAGCATTGTCCAGAATTCAACTCGTCGGACGTCGCATGCAATGCATGGCTCATTCTCTATTCCCTGACAGCTGGCGTAAATGAGGTATTCTAATTACCCTGGGCCTCGTTAGCACTCGTCTCTTCCTGTCGTTCAGCCCATTGAACTTTCCCCAGGTCGGGCATTGCAAACGAACGAGATCGGATATCAAGGCCCCCTCTCCCCGCGCTGCCGAGCGCGCCGAGGCTGCGCGCGCCGCCAGCCGCCGCATCCTGTTTTTGGGCTTCAACTTCTCATGTGAGGGAGAGGGCTGAGCGCAGGGATACGGCTTGGATTAGACTGCTGGGGACCGGGCCCGTGTAGCTTTAATGTAATAAGAAATCCTTCCGGATCAGGACAGGAAGAAGGTGCTAGGCGAAGTGTTCGAGTTGGTGCAAGTGCTCGAGTTGCTCGACTAGACCCTCGCGCCGGCGCGAGTGCCCGCGATGGCGCCAGCGCCCTCGACGACGCAAGTGGCCGCGATGGCGCAAGCGCCCGCAATGGCGCAAGCGCCCGCGCGCGCTCGTCGCTCCCGCTGGCGGCGATGCGTCAGCGCAACGGGCGAGCTGGTGCCTCAGGCATGCTTCACCCGAAAATGCCCAGTGATCACGTCCCGCACATGGCCCCCCAGTCAGCCCTCTGAACCTGACCCCATCCTCCCCCCTGGTGCCCGACTGGCTTGTTTGCGAAGATGGGTTCGGCGTCTGTTTCCCGGGAACGCGACCAGCCCCGTCCTGGGGGACCTAGAATCTCGCTGCCGATGAGAATTTGTCAAGCAAGCCACGCGCGATGCGGCGAATGAAGCTCGGGGCGCCTGCAGACGCGGTCTTGCCTCGTCCTATAAAGGAAACGCCACTTGGCCCTCCGTGGGCGGCGTCTCCGCGGGCAGCGTCTTCTCTGCGCCGTTCACCGTTCGAGCTCTAGCGCCTCGGGGGCGCGACCATCCAGCCGGGCCTGCCCGCGCTGATCAGCTCCATGCAGATGCAGATATGAGGCGAGGAAGCCCGTCGGGTCGAGCTCCCGGGCCCCCTTCCAGCGGCGGGGCGAGGCCACGGGGGGCGAGCCCAGGGGGGCCAGAAGAATCGATGGCGATTCAGACGTGGGGCCCAGCCTCTTTGCGCACATGATTCCGACGGAAGACCTTGCCAGTCCGACGCCGGCCCCGCCGAAGTTCTCAAGCAGCGCAGGCCCCGGGCCCCCGCCCCGCCCGGCCCCGCCGAAGTTCTCAAGCAGCGCAGGCCCCGGGCCCCCCCTCCTGGATTCGGCCTTCAGCGAGGAGGTGGGCCTGTTCATCCATCAAGTTCCTGCGCCCCTCCTCACTCCTTGATGTCGCCCCATCGAATATGGCATGTTCGCATGTTGTTCCGTTTTCACAGCATGCCGCGTGAAGGCGGCATCCCTCATTGAGTCGGGGAGGTCGGCGATGCCTCTAGTGGGCTGCGCGATGTTCACTTTCCGTCGCTTGATCGGGGCGTCGCGCGACCCCCCTTGGCCACGCGAAGGAATCCGCCGATGATTTTACCGGAAGGCGCGGGGGGGGAGGTTGCGCCGTCGCCCCTCGCCCGAGGGCCTCAGCGCACCTGTCCCCCCAGCAGGGCGGACGCTGACCTCGCGATCCTGGCCGGTTCTATGACCATCCCAGATGCTAGTGACATTCAGAAGCGCGCTGCCCCTGAACAGAAGCGCGCGCGTGGAAGGGCGTCGTTTCGAGCGCTGCTGAGGCTGAAGCTTGAGGGATAGAGCAGCGCATCTTGGGCCGCGAGAGCGCTTGCCTCTTTGTCGCGGACCCCCCCCCCGAGCGGGTCGCCAACGAGACGCCGACGGGCGGGCACTGGGCGAAGCCTCGGGCATGAACCTCCCGGTGCGGGGCACTGGCGACCGGCAGGCGACGCCCCGCCATACCCCCCCCCCGCGAGGGGCGCCCACGAGGCGCCCGCGGGCGGGCACCGGGCGAAGCCTCGCACATCCCCGCCCGCCGGCGCGGGGCGCCAACGAGGCGACCACGGGCGCCCACGACCACCAACCGGGCACCGGGCGAAACCCGGGCGCAGCCCCCCCTCGCGGGGCGCCAAGGACGCGCCCACGGGCGTCCGCGACAGGGCATCAGCCGGGCACCAGCGGGGCACCAGCCGAAACCCCGACCTGCCTTATGGCGAAGGCCTTATGGCCGGTGCCGCCGAACCTGAAAGGGGACGACGACGACGACGACGACGACGACGACGACGACGACGACGACGCTGACGTGGGTGAGAGTTCTCAGGGATTCTGTTTGGGATCTCTTCGGAGCGCTCTCGGAGGCCTCTGGGGGGGCAGTTTTGGGGGCCCCTTGGGAGCATCTTGAAGGCCTCTTGGGAGCCTCTTGGGAGCCTCGTGGGGCTTCCTGGGGGCCTGTTGGGGGCCTCTTGGTGGCCTCTTGGAGCCTCTTTGGGGCCCCCTCGAGCAGCGGCACCTTCACAGGGCGCCCGAAGGGGAACCTCTGACGGGGCGTGGCCCTCGGCACAAACTGCGAGGCCGGGGCACAGCGCGCCGCACGGCCCAGAACTCCACCGAAGCTCCGGGACGGGCCGCAAAGAACGAACGCATGTGCGGGCGGGGGGGCGAAGAACCCCACGGGCCCCCACATGGGGCCGCAGCCTGCGGTGCCGGGTGCACCAGGCAGCAGGCCCTCGGAGCGCCCAGAGACCCCCAAAATTCGGACCGCCCCTGCCACGGGGAAGCAGAGCAGCGCGGGGTGACGCGGGAGCAGGCGGAACGAGGGCAGGAGGAGGGGGCCCCGACGGCAAACCCTCAGCCCGCGCACAATACCGTCAGGACCCGAGTGACCAACGACGAGCGAGGGCGAGGGAGAAGGGGGAGGGGGCAGGGAGCGGTCCGCGGACGGTGCCTGCCGCTCGACGTACTAAACCTCGAGGGCACGACACGCGAGAACAAAAAAGGGGCTTCAGTTCGGAAGGCCAAGCTCGGGGGCGAAGCGGCTCATGTCGCAGACGACTGCGACATAGGATAATGACATGTAGGGAGGAGGAGGAGGAGGAGGAGGAGGAGGAGGAGGAAGAGGAGGAGGAGGAGGAGGAGGAGGAGGAGGAGGAGGAGGAGGAGAAGGGCGCCATCAACAGGGAAGGTGAGGGCCACGAGGTCCGCTGGCTCGACGCCCGCGTCGCCCGCACCCGCCCCCTGACTCTTATCCGCAACTGCGGGGTGCTACGTATATATACAGATAGGTGTGTATGTATGTATCTTGCTGTGTATGTGTTGGATACGCAACAGAAAGGCAAACATATGAATGGAACGACTTCGATCTGAATACAAGCATATGTACATTCAGGTGTCGGGTACGACACCCAACCCAGATTTACATACAGTGATGCGGATGCTGCTGGAATTCGTGGGGGGGGGGAGATTGAAGAAAGAGTGAGCAAGCGGGACGGGAACAAAAGGAGAGGGAGGGAAATAGAGAAAGGCATGATGTTATCCTCCACCGTGCCCCTGTGGCACGACGTGGGGTGTCCCCAGGGCCCTTGCTCAACCCCTGAACCTCGGTGTACATTCCTGGGGCTTCGTGTGGGGGCCTGGGCCCAAACTTCTCAGCACGATCGGCCCAAGACGCCCAGGATGGCCCCAATACGGCTCAAGAGGCCTTCGAGGCGCACCAAGACAATCCCGAGGGCGTTCCCAAGAGGGCCCTGAGAGGCCAAACCCAGTGACCCAACAGACGGCCCCAAGATGCTCCAAGTCAGCCTCCCAGTGGCCTCAAAACTGCCTCCGGTAGGACCCCGAACAGGCCTCGACGAGATCCGAACTAACATCCAACAGGCCTCATACCCAAAACCCAGGCACGGTGGCGGGATGGGACGACTGCCACTGTATATGCACGACTACATCTATGTCATCGATGTCTGTGCTGCCATACGTAGGTTTGGGGCGTATGTGTATATCTGCATCTCTCTCTCTCTCTCTATATATATATATGTATAAATATAGATGCACGCGCGTGGGGAAACAAAGATAGTTTCGTTCATGTGGGCAGCGAAAGAGAGAGAGGGAGAGAGAGAAAGAGAGAGAGACAGATAGAGAGAGAGAGAGAGAGAGAACGACAGGATGTGAAAGGGATGAGCAGAACGCGGGCATCCACCCGGAAGGCGTTGGAGCCGGCGGGCCCGTCGGGCACGAAGGCGGCCGAGCCCGTGCGCAGCGCTCCCGACTGCGAGGCGGAACCGTCGAATTGCTCGACGTCGCACGCCTCTGCGCGCACTGGCGCATGATGCCTCTCACCCTCCTCCCTCGCGCGCCACGCCTGGCGGCCCACGAAATAATCAAACGCTGCGCCCCGTGGAAAGAGAGCCTGCCCAACCCCTGCGACCTTCACCGCGAGATTCGGGATGACCTCTGGGCCCATGCCCGTGCTGACCGCCTCTGCGCATCCGCGCGCCGATCCGAGGCGGGGGCTCTTCCTCAGGATGAAAGCCCGACGAAATCGAGGAAGGGGCTTCGTGCAACCGCCTGCCACCTGAGCGACGATCAAAAACGGGTCTGGCGTAGCGACCTTACGCCGGCCGCCAGCGCGGCACGCCACAGTGGAGACGAGGGCGCTTACGCGCGACCTTACGCGGGCAGCTTGCACGTCAATGTCGGCGCCGACGACCCCGTGTTTTTCCAAACCATTGTGGTGTTGGGTCCTCGTTTTGAAGGGACAGCGCCTGTCTCACCTGCCGCTGCCCCCTCCCTCCTCCCCCTCCTCCCTCCTCCCATCCGCCTCGTCATCGTCATCGTCATCGTCATCGTCATCATCATCGTCATCATCGTCATCATCATCGCCATCGGCATGCTCCACATCATCATGATCATCACCATCGCCATCGTCAGCGCTGCGCCCCTCACACTGTTCGTGGCACCACACGGAGCTCCACCGAAGGCCAAAGTGGCGGCGGTTGCATGCGTCACCGCCGCCCCATTTTGGCACATCCCATACACGGTTCGTGGCCCCGTAGGGAGCTCCACCGAAGGCCTCAGCGGGAGCGTCCGCATGGCACCGCCGCCCCATTTTGGCACACCCCTCACACGGTTTGTGGCCCCTTAGGGAGCTCCACCGAAGGCCTCAGCGGGAGCGTCCGCATGGCACCGCCGCCCCATTCCGGCACACCCCTCGCACGGTTCGTGGCCCCATAGGGAGCTCCACCGAAGGCCCCAGCGGGAGCGTCTGTATGGCACCGCCGCCCCATGTTGGCACGCACATTACACGGCCCGTGGCCCCACAAGGAGCTCTGCCGAAGGCCCCAGCGGGAGCTTCCTCATCCCTCACACGGTTCGTGGCCCCATAGGGAGCTCCACCGAAGGCCTCAGCGGAAGCGTCCGCATGGCACCGCCGCCCCATTTTGGCGCACCCCTCACACGGTTCGTCGTCCCATAATGAGCTTCACCGAAAGCCCCTGCGGGAGCGTCCGCATGACCCCGCCGCCTCATTTTGGCACACCCCTCACACGGTTCTTGGCCCCTTAGGGAGCTCCACCGAAGGCCCCAGCGGGAGCGTCCGCATGGCACCGCCGCTTCTCTTCGGCACACCCCTCGCACGTCTCGTTGCCACATAGGGAGCCCCTCCGAAGGCCTCAGTGAGAAGGCTCGCATGGCACCGCCGCCCCATTTCGGCACACATCTCACACGTTTCGTGGCCCCATAGGGAGCCCCACGGAAGGCCTCAATGGCGACGTTCGCAGGAGCCCCCCCGACTCATGCCAGCACGACCCTTCACACGTTTCGTGGCAGAAGGCTATACCGCGTGCGCTACCCGGAGTTTGCGCGCCCCCCTCCGTCGTCTCATCTCCCTCGCGGCACGCGCAGCTGCAGATGGTTGGGTCCCTCGTCAAGCTTTTTTTTCCGTCGCTCACCTGGAAGCCGCCCATGCCACCGGAAGATCAGACCAAAGAAGCCTCAATGCTCCCAGGGCACCAGAGGCCTCAGGTCCACGTGCCTTGGGGCCGCATCGGCGCTGGAGGCGGCAACGCAAGCCGAACAACGGCTCCGTGTCTCGAGGCGAGCGCCCCGACAGAGCCCACAGAGGGTGGGCCCCTGGCGCCCTCCTGGGTCGAACTGCTCGCTGGGGGGTCCCTCGTGGAGCCGGGGGGCCCAGCCTGTCCGAGCCAGCAGCACGCTCGCCAGCTGGCCCCTCGAGGGCCACGGGCAGGGGCCGTGCCTGGCAGATGGCCTCCGCACGCGCGGTCCGAGCCAGGGCGGGGCTCGAGGCCTCGACGGGCGCCTCGAGGAACGGGGGCAGGGCGACCTGCTCGAGTTCGATGAGGAGACGCTGGGTGGGGGGGGGGGCTGTCGCTGGCCCACGACGTGCGGTCGGCGCAGGGCCGTGCTGCGGTGGCACGGAGGTCGTCTCCGATGGGCTCCCCTCGCCTTGTTTTGGGCTGGGCCGTCGGAGCTGTGTCGCTTCTGCTCTCCCGGGCGCGTGCGATCCTCCTCCGCCTCTTGTTCTCCCCCCTCGTTCTCCTCCCCCTCTTGGTCAGTATTGTGCTGCTGCTCTTTGTCCGCCGCCTCCTCACCTCCGCCCCGCCCCGCCATGACCCGAGTGTTACTCGTCCTCCTGGGACACCTCACATTCTAGTTCATCCCGTTCGCCCTCCTTCCCCTGGTGGTGAGCGGGAGGGGGGGGGGCAGCGGAATGACGAGCACCATCATGAGCCCTCCCAAACCTCCCTCTTGCCGTATGCTGCGCCACCTCATGACCGTCCTATTCCTCATTCACCGCTCTCTTACCCAGCAGAAGTACCGTCAGGCTCCTACCTATGGTCCCCTTGCCCTTGGGCAGCAGAAGTCTAGATCCTACCAGCCCTCTGGGCGTGAGTGGTTTAGGGAGTTTCCTCTTCCAGTCCCCCTTCTTCCCCTCCCCCGACCCCCTCCCCCAGAACCCCTCCCCCGACCCCCCCTCCCCAGAACCCCTCGGGGAATGGCTAACCCCTCCCCCGACCCCCTCCCCCAGAACCTGGACGGGGGGGGGAGTCGCGACCCGCTGGAGCGACCCAGACGGCCTCGCTTAGAAGGCGAAAACCAGCGAGTTGTGACTCAGATGTTGGGCCCATGCTGGCTTCCTGGCGGAGGAGGAGAGGGGGGCTAATGTGTGACCCGTTGGTCGAACTCCTCCTAGATGGCCACAAGATGGTCCCTAAAGTCCTAGAGGCCCCAAGAGAGCCCCTAGAGGCGCCCAGGAGGGTCCAAGAGGCCCCCACGAGGTGCCCACGAGGCTTCCAAGAGACCCCACCGACGCCGCAGGAGGCTTCCAAGAGACCCCACCGAAGACCCACGACGCTCGAAGGGGCTCCCGTGACCGCCAAGAGGCCCTTAAGGCACCCCAAAAGGACACCAAGAAGCGCTCGAGCTAGATCCGAGGAGACTCCGAGAGGCATCCAAGAGGCCTCTGACCTATCAGCTCGCTCTGCTCCTCCTCCTCCTCCTCCTCCTCCTCCTCCTCCTCCTCCTCCACTTCCTCACCCGCCTATTCCTCCTCCTCCCTCCTCGCTCCTCCCTCCTCCCCCTCCCCCTCCTCTGTTTCCTCCTCCTCTGATTCCTCCTCCATCCGCCCCGTCTTGGGGTATGAGGGCTCCCCAGCCCTTAATTCCACTGCATGCTCCTCCACATCCCTGATCAGGGCAACTCGCCTGGCCATCGTTTCTGGATGGGCTGGTGGTGTGACGCGAAGCGTCCAGAACATGATCAGCAGCGCGGAGGGGAGACGCAGCAGCAGGGGCGCTCATCCTCGTCATCATCCATTTCCTGATGCCACTCGGCCTCTACGTTCTGATGTTTCCATTGGTCTTCGGGTTCTCCCTCTCGTCTTCCTTCCCTTGCAGCAGGAGGAGGAGGAGCAGGAGGAGGAGGAGGAAGAGGAGGGGGAGGGGGAGGAGGAGGAGGAGGAGGAGGAGGGGGAGGAGGAGTGTTGGAGATGGAGGAGGAGGAGGAGGAGGAGGAGGAGGAGGAGGAGGAGAAACATCATCAAAAGAAGCGTCATGAGTCCCTCACATCCTCTTCCGGTGCTCCACCCCATCATCCTGGCGTCCTTCATTCTCCTGCTCATGACGCTCGTTCTTCTCATCATCGGCGTGCTGCCCCTCAGCATCCTGCTGATGATGCTCCGCTGCCTCCCCTTCATCATCAACATCTTCCCCCTCGCCATCTCTCAGGGGGCGTAAGACCCGGGTACAGGGGACTCGGAAATCCCCGACGAGGTCGTCAAAAAAATGACGAGGCCGAGCCTGCATTTTGACGAGGCCTCCCGCTGCAGACATCCCACGAAACTCCCACTCGTCAAAATCCGAATCGCGGTCGTCAAAAAACGATGGGGAACCCGAGTCCTGGCAAACCCAGGTCTTACGCTCCCCCGAATCTCCCTTCCTCCGCAGGTTTGGACGCCCGAAATGGGTACCGAAAAAATGGGTACGATGCCCAACAGCAAATGTTGTCCCAAACCAACAGCGGCCGCTGTTGGGCAGGCGGCCTCCTGTCTCGAATGGACACAGGCAAAAGCGGCGTGGACAGCGAGCCCTGTTCAAACTGAACTAGATCCGCTGTTGGGCATTGTACCCATTCTTTCAGTACCCATTTCGTGCGTGCAGAGCAGGGATAGGCAGGTGAGCAGCAGCATCGAGAGGAGGACCGGCAGCAGGAGGGCTTATCACACTGGGTTCCCTGATGCTGCTGCACATCCCCCTCATCATGCTCTGCGTTATCAGACTGCCGATGCTTCTGTCATACAGTCGGGGCCTTGACCTAAGGAACTCAAAATAAGGAACGAGGCCCCTTTTTTCCATAAGTTAACCTTCGATTTCCTATCGAAAACATAAGGGAAGCCTGAGGCAAGCTCTGTAACACTCAAGGAACGCGGAGCCTCTCCCCAACGAAAAGGGTTCCTTCTTCAGGGCCCCGACTGTAGTCCTCCTTGCCCGCGCCCGCAACACAAAGGGCAGCAGCGGGATGGCGAGGACGATCGGCAAGACGAGCAGCAGCAGCACCCAGAGAAGGGCCGGGAGGGAAGATGGCGAAACGCACAACAGCACTCTTCACCATGCTCGTGTTGCCGCCGCCCCTGCTCCGCGTCCTGGCCCTCATCCTGGGTGCACTCCCCCTGCTCCTGATGCAACTCATTGCCAAAACCTTCTGGCTCCCAGGGGGAGCCCGCTCGCCCCCCCCACAGGACATGATTACGATGCCCGTGGAAATCGAGAGCAAATCGCTGCAAATCCCCGCAATGTCTTAGGACACCTGCGGATTCCAGATGCCGTGTTCATGATGTGGCCCATACAACGAAGTTCGCATTCCTGCAAGAAACCTTCGGGCTCCGTGATGGGGGCTGTACGACTCCCGGAACATCGTGGGACTCCTTTGCCTGATGCTCGGGGTCCTTGCGGAATCCACTGAGTGTCTGACAGCCTCGAGATGAATAATTACTGAAACCGGTCTTCGGGTTCCTCGGGACATCTTGCGGCTCCCATGAAGAACCGACCTGGGTCGCTGATATAAAAAAAGCCCGTCTAGGTTCCCCAGGCAACCCGTCGGAATCCATAAGGCATAGTTTTTCTCGAAAAGGTTGGGCAAGGAAATGGGCACTTGTCATAAGGCGGAAGTTGACTGCGTACCGTATCCAACGACAGCCCCACGCAATCAAATCGGGCGCCGCACGCACGCCGAGCCGACGTGGGGCAACACCTACACCAAATTTCAGCGACGCTTGGCGCACCTGGGCGCCGGCCCCTGCGTGCCCGAACCACCCTGGAACCCCCCAACGCCTTATTCCACCAGCCTTTACCCTCCCCCTCCCCCTCCCCATTCTTTCGTGTTTGTATGGTGGGGGGTTTGGAGCGAGGTGTCAGGGGGTCCTTTTTCGCCCAAGATGGTTCCGAAAGGGCCTGCGATGCTCCACAATGGCCTCCAGCGCGGCCCAAAATAGCTGAAGAAGCTCCAAGATAGCTGTACGATGGCTCCAAGTGCTCTCGAAGACCCCTGAGGACCCCCCCCCCAAACAGGGCCAACATCCTTCAACTACCTGAGAACAACTGCAGAGTTTAGCGTTTCGCCCTTCCATGTCCGATGCACTTTTGGGCCCCAGCAGTTGCCCCACCATGGCCCAATCGAGCAGCAAGAGGGGCCCAAGATGTAGACGGCCCACAAGGCGCCCCAGAGCGCCACGAGAGGGCCTCAACATGCTTTTGTGATGACCCCACACGGGGGAGGGGGGGCGGGGGGACCCCCCTTTTTTGATCGACAGCCACCAACATGGCTCGAAGAGGCCGTCCAGGGCCCCGAAAGGGGGACCCCGAGCGGGCCCCCAAAGCGCCCACGAGCACCCAATGAACGCCCCACGGGAAGCCCAAAGAGGCGGTCTTTCTCCTCCTCCTCCTCCTCCTCCTCCTCCTCCCTCCTCTCCTCCTCATCCTCGTCCTTACTCCTCCTCTCCATCCTCCTCCTACTCCTCCTCCTCCTTCCTCCTCCCTCCTCCCCTCCTCCTCTCCTCCTCTCCTCCTCCTCCCTCCTCCTTCCTCCTACTCCTCCTCCCCTCCTCCTCTCCTCCCTACCCTCCTCTCCTCCCATACTCCTCCCTCCTCCTCCTCCTCCTCCTCCTCCTCTCCTCCTCCTCTCCGACTCCTCCTACTCCTACTCCTACTCCTCCTCCTCCCCTTCTCCTCCTCCTCCTCCTTCTCCTGCTCCTCCTCCTCCTCCTCCTCCTCCTCCGTCCTCCTCCCCCTTCTCCTCCCCCTTCTCCTCCCCTCGCCTACCCGCAGGCCCCCGGTCATGGCCCAAAGAGGCCTTCCAAGCTGTTCATTCTGGTTGCCTGCTTCGTTTCACTATATGTGTCACTTCGTCCGTTCCCCCGTCAGCTCTCATGGGCAGGGTGTCTGACCAGGCTGGTGGGGATACGTTTGGGTATGCAGGCGCACGAATCAAGTCGGACGCCGGGCAAGCAGGGGCAGGCTATGCCACACTGGTGGGGATGCTTGTTGGTCGGCGGCTCCCAGGCGAAGGTCGAGGAGCGGGGCAACGTTCGGGGCGCGGAACGAAGATAATTGGCCGCAGTGGCGGCTGGTGGGGGATGCGCGAAGCGTGAAGACTTTCGCGTCACCTTGGGTAAGTGTCGGATGAGTTTCGAAATCGTCATACATGTTACCGAGCAGTCTCAGGCCGTCGCAAAAGGTCTCAGGGTGCCCCGAACCCCCAGTCGCCAAGTGCAACCGCGAGCCTCGCGCGGTCTCCAGGCGCCACGAAACCCTCGGCGGCGAGCGCACACGCGCGTCTCACGCGGCCTCAAAGTGTCACGAAGCCTGCGGCGCCGAGCACGCCCACGCGTTTCACACAATCTCAAAGTGACGCGAAACCCACTGTGCCGAGCCCAGTCACGCGCTCCATCGGAATTCATTCGGTTTCACAGTGCCACGAAACCCTTGGCGCCGAGGAGATCCGCGCGCCTCACAGGATATCCCAAACCCGCGAAGTCCTCGGCGCCGTACACATCCACGGGTCTCAGATGGCCCCGTAACGCCACGGAACCCTCTCGCGCCGAGCACAGCCGCGAGCTCCACGAGAACCCAAACGCTAACGAACCCTGGTGTCACATCTTGCGTCGAAGAAGGACACGTTTTAATACAGCTGATGCCCCCAACGCATTCGTCGGCCAGGGCAACGCGCACGCATACCATCACACAAGCACGCAATCCATAAGCATGCAACCATGGAGGTGTTAGATCGGCGAGGGTAGTCAATACCATTGGAACCGTGATGAAGCCGCAGTACCAATATGCGGGCCCGGCGCGAGCGCGAAAACCATTTCAAGCCATTTGCTCTCGGACTTCATTTGGGGCACAAGAAGAAGCCCGCATGAGTCTGAAAGTCTTCTCAATAACCTCTGGGACGTCCGTACGATCCCTGCAGAAGCCACTATGGACCCTGGGGGGCCCCTTAGAAGTCCAGAAGCACTTCAAAGGATTCAATTGGACACCCTTAGGATTCGGGGACCTTCCTGCCAGACAATTTATGCAACCTCCTGGGACATCCACAGAAATGATTCCCTATAGAAATCGCCAGAGTCGGTACGGAAACCGTCGTTCTCTGAGACACGGCAAGGACTCCTGATGACATCCTCGGGGCCCATTGCGATATCCATGAAACTGCTAAGGACATCCCTGGGTTTGCCCTTAGGGGTTTGGATTCCGGACGGGCCCTTCAGGCTTCAAGAGGAAACCCTTCGGGTTCCTCATGGAATCCTTCGATCTTTTTCTGGGATGCCTTGAGGATTCCCGGATGGCAGTTCAGTGTTTGAACAATCCATTGTAGCCCAATGCTCGGAAAGGAACGCGGAGAGGGCGCGCAATAAACAATACTAAAGACGACTCAAAAAAAACAACAAGCCTGCAAGATGTACGGGGTATTAATCATGAACCCATAGTGCATAGTACATAGTGGCCCACCACGCAAGAGTAAAGGGAGAAGGAAAGACAGCGATTGAACGAGAGAAAAAGAGAGAAGGAGCTGAAGAATGAGAGAGAGAGAAACATGAACAAAAACATAAACACAAGGGAGGTACATGATAAGATGAGGGCCTCGAACAACAGTGATTCGGCCCCTCAACCGATGGGAAAGGCGAACGGGGAAGGCGGTTTGGGAAAGGGGGTCGGGAACGGAGCATGGACACTTGCATGGGAAGCGTGTGAGGTAAATGGATGGAAAGGGGTGGGGAGAGGACGAAGGGAGGTAATGCTGGAAGAAAAGAAAGGATGGGAAGGAAGCGAGGAAGTGAAAGGGGAATTTCGCAGGCGAGGTATAACCGACCAAGGGAGAAGGGTGAGGGCGGAGGGGGATGTGAACGGTGTGGGGGCGGGTGGAGGGGAGACGAGCAAAGGATGCGGAAGCAGAGGGCGAAAGGGCGGGGTGCAGTTGGATGCAAGAAGGCGTGCCCCTGGCGGCGGCAAAATCGCCTCCCGGGACAAATAAGCCGTGGTCGATGCGGTGCACACCGCGTTCTCCTCGCAGACAACCCGGATCTCCTGCCCGGGGGCTGCGTTCAAGCTGCCCGGCTCCACGCCGCGGAGGGGCGACGTGTGCACCAGCAGTCCCGTATCTCCAGCCTCCATGGAGCCCCCCACGCCGTCCGCGTCGTAGCAGAGGCGGTACGTGCGGCCGATCTCGAGCGGAGCAACGTCCAGGACCGCCGAGAAGGCAGACGTGCGGGAGCTCGACCCCGAGCCGAGGCCGGGGTCTTGGGGCACGAGGCCGCCGGGCCTCGTGCTCTCGCTTCCAGCGGCTACCTCCCCTCTCTCGCACCTCGCGGCCAGGTAGACGTGCCCGCTGGCGGAGCATCCGCTGCCGCAGACCAGCGCCAGCTCCACGGGCCTGGCCTCCTCCTCCGCTGCCACGGTCGAGATGTTCACCTCCGCGGTCGTGTTGTTCGCAACCAACGGCACGGCAACCTGAACCACCACGACGGGCACAGGCGTGGGCGCATCCTCGGTCAAGTTGGTCAAATTGTCGGTCGAATTGGTCGCATTGGACGAGTTGCTCGCGTTCGGGTCGCCCACATCCCCGTTCGGGTCGCCCACGTCCCCGGCCGGGTCGCCCACGTCCCCGGCCGAAGTGACAGCCGTGTAGTTGAACCTGGCCAAGGTACTCGGCAGCCTGTGTGGGGGGATCGGCGACCACGCGCATTCTTCCCTGTCCTTCTCTCCCTCCTCTCCTTCCAAGGCCACGGAGGGGTAGTGAAGTTCCCAGAGCTATGACTTCCAATGTCTGCTCTTGCTCAAGTCCAAACAAGCGGGCAACTTGGTCTGTATGACGTCTTCAGCGCTGTGCATACCCCCGGCACTGCTCCCCGCAAGTGATTGTTTCGCGGACACCTTGCCTTCGAGGATCGAGGGAGTTGTCATCTCTTCCTCGGCGGAAGGTGGCGGAAGGGCGGCGGAAGGCCGGCAGAGGCAAAACAGGGACGCCTCAGCCGGCGGAAGCCGGCGGAATGGCGGCGGGAGGGGGCCAGACAAGAATGCGCCCCAAAGAGATGACAACATTTTTGGGCTCCGGGTTTCCGGAGTCCCTAGTCCCGAGTCCTCGCCCTCTGGTGCTCCCATCGTACTTCAGGACCAAATCTTCGAAATAATTCCGAACACCCAGAAAAGTATCGAAACAGTGTCGAACGAGTATCGCCTTCCAGGGCCCGACGCGTGAAAACACTCAGGTTTTGGTACTTTCCTGGTGCTCAAACTGTTTTCAGGTGATCAAGGATAAAAAATCGAAACATCATAATCCTCGCCTTCAATTGAGCAGGGACCGACCGTCCCGGCATTCCTATACGCCTACCACGACATGCTCTTAAGAACCCCAACGTGTCCGAATCGCAAAAGCAATGTTCTTCGAACAGAAACCCGATGTACCAGAACAGGACAGTCCCAGCTTTACATGTTCTAAAAACACTTCGTGCAAACCACAAGAGGTTATGAGGACATTCTTCGGTGGGCCTATAGGCAAGCTGGGACGCTTCGCCGCTCCAGCCTCTTAGGCGCCCGACGGGGGACCTCGGAGGCCGCGGCGCCCGCCTCTGCACAACGAGCTCCCGCTTATGAAGCAAGGGCCGGCCGCCCCAGCACTCCTATAGGCCTGCCACGACATCTCCTTAGAACGAAAACTGCTCTAACAGCAAAAACAAGGTTCTTAGAGCGTGGAGCCGATGTATTTCTACACATAGCATGTGTATATATACACATAAACCAGAACAAGACAGCCTCAGCCAACATGTTCTAAACACACTTCGTGCCAACCACAACAGATTCTCCGAACATTCTTCGGCAGGCCGATAAGCAAGCCGGAGCGTCTCGACGCTGCCTGACACGTGGGAGGCGCACAGCGATCGGCCGACAGCGCAAGAGGTGTGCGGGGGGATCAGCTCTCGGCGACGGCGGCGAACGGAGGTGTGGGCCAGCAGGGGGCGTCTGGCCCGCCAAACTTGCTGGACGAGGCCGGAGTCGGCGCGGCCCGTCCCAAACGGCGACGCCAGCGACCCGAATATGATGGGGCCCGGCCGAACTTCACACACAAGATGAGACATGCATGCGCAGTGGAGGTCAGTCCACAGGAAACCTTCCACTAGAAACCCTAGCTTGAGACCTCAGGACGTCCGTCGATTTCTGGTGTGGGAACGTCACGCTCTCCATGGCAAGACCATCGAAACCAAGGCAACCCAGTGCACCCGGGAGGCAAGAAAGGTTTTTTTTTTTTTTTTTTTTTTTTTTTTTTTTTTTTTTTTTTTTTTTTTTTTTTTTATAAAAAAAAAAAAGAACAATCGACGCATCTCATATATGTATATATATATATATATGTATAGATGCTCTCAATGGGTGCCGGTGCCGCGGCACGCGCGGGCTGAAGAGATGCTCCCGGCCTGGAGCATTCGCCTGCGCCGTGTTACAGAGAAGCTCTTGTAATGCGCCCTGGAATTCAGACACGCTGCCGGGCGACTCCACAATATCTGGCGGAAGTCGGTTGTCGATTGACACCAAGCCGAGCACAGATTTTTGATATAGTCTGGGGGGCGTGAACTGTAAAACGAGAAAAAACTCTACTGTAAAACGAGAAAAACACTGGGGGAGGCGTGCCCTCTGCCGACCGTGTTAGGCCCTGCAGTTTGCCCCAAATATCTCCAGGGTGCCCACGGGATGGGGGAGTGAGATGCTTCCGCGGGGCACCTGCTGGCGGGCGGGAGGAGGAGGAGGGGGAGGACGAGGAGGAGGAGGAGGGCGAGGAGGAGGAGGACGAGGAGGAGGAGGAGGAGGGGAGGGGGGGAGGAGGAAGAGGGTAGGAGGAAGGAGAGGAGGGAGGGGGAGGAGAGGAGGGAGGAGGAGGAGGAGGAGGAGGAGGAGGAGGAGGAGGAGAAGAAGAAGGTGGAGGAGGAGGAGGGGGAGAAGGAGGAGGAGGACGAGGAGGAGGAGGACGAGGAGGAGGAGGAGGAGGAGGAGGAGGAGGAGGAGGAGGGGGAGGGGATGTGCTCGGCGCACTCTGCACGGCAGAAGAGCCAGCAGGGCCCCCTGGGCTGGTGGAGGGCCTGCGTGGCCTTCGCTCGACACGCCTGCCCGAGAGGCTCGGCAGGCTGGCTGTCTCGGCCTGGGCATGGCGGTCTTGACTGCTTGGGCCTGCCTGGTCACGGTCTCGGCGCTATGGGCGGAGTTGCTCGGGCTCCCTGACCGGCTGGTTCTGACCGATCCCGTGCTGTAGTGCGTTCAGTGAGTGTGCTTCGCTCTCCTCTCTACTCCACTGCACTGAACTCGAGTCGCGTGAACCACATGATTGGCGACGATACAAATACTCTATATACACATATATAACATCAGTGCGCTCACGTGTACGCCAGTACAAAGAAGCGTTATGTGCATCGCGTGTAGATAGTCACACAACTTGTAATCCAACGCGCTGCCAGTGTCGGGTATGGGCACATTGTCATAGGTGCCAGAGCTTTCGAAACTGGTCAACGTACACGTGTGAGGACAAGCGTCTACCAAGGTATTCAACACATGTTGGCCAGCATGGAACCCAAACAGTTATCTTTTGAAACCTACGAGGTGCAATCTAGGTGGTGCAATCAATGTGGTGCAGCCTACGTGATGCATTCAATGAGGTGAGATTACGTGGTGCAGCACATGCGGCGAAAGCCATGCCAACGCAAAGCAGTGCAGAGCAATGAAAAACAACGCACAGCAATGCAAACCAACGAGGGTCAATGTCAAGCAATGCAGACCAATGCAGAGCATTGCAAAGCAGTGCACAGCAATGCAAAACAACCCAAGCAATGCCAATAAATGCAACGCAATGCAAACCTATGCGAATCAAGGCAAAGGCAATGTAAAGAAAGGCAACGCAAAACAGTGGGTAAGCAATGCAGAGCCATGCATAGCAATGCAACGCAATGTACAGCAATGCAAAGCGATGTGCAGCAATACAAAGTGATACAAAGCACTCCCATACAATCGCAATGCACAATAATTCAAATCAGCACAAGACAATGAGCAGCAACGCAACATAATGCCAACCAAAGCAAAGCAAAGCAAAGCAAGGCAAGGCAAGGCAACGCAAATCAACGCAAAAGTGCAAACACATGCAGTGCAATACAAAACAATGCAACGCCAAGCACAGCAATGTGGAGCAATGCAGTGACTACAGCAAAGCAAAAACACAAGGCAAACGCAATGCAGCATCAATGCAAGACCAACGCAAACGCCACGCAAAGGGAACAGCAAAGCATACAACAAACAGGCAATGCAGAGCAATGCAAAGCAACGCATACGCAGAAAACATCTATACACCACCACCACCGTGCCAGGCCAGGGCCATCCTGGGCCCTGGGATGGTGTACACGCCATCCTGGCCGAGGCCAGGAGGGTCTATACACCATCCTGGGGCCCAGGATGGCCCTGACCTGGCACGGTGGTGGTGTATAGATGCCTTCGCGGGAAGCGCAAAGCAATACCAAGAGCAATGCCAAGCAGCGCAGAGCAGCGCGATTGCAAAGCCACGCAGTCCCCGCGGCGATACGGCCGCGACGGCCGGCCACGGGCGAGCCGAGACCAGCACGGGGGCCCGGCTCTGGCGGCGCGCCCAAGGGGGGGGACGTGGGAAGGAGAAGCCCTTCTCTGAAGGGGCCCCAGGACACACCAATACATACACACAAATCAAAAGACTCCCCATGTTTTCCCACATGTTCTGGGTTTCTGTCCTTCCCCCCACTTCGCATATTTTCCCATATGTTCTGGGAGATCGAGGATTATTTGTGTCGGTGTGTTCCTTTTCCTCCTGATTCTCAGAGGCCTCGGAAGTCCCTCAGCCTTCTGAGAAGTTCTCCGAGCATTCCCCGGAGACGCAACAACAACTTCTCAGAGGGCGCGATGGGCGTCTGAGAGGTCCCGCCGCCTTCTGAGAAGGCCTTCTTCTTCTCCCTTCCCCCCCTCGCTCGCCGCCGAGAGTTACCAGCAGCGACGGCTGCGGCGACGAGCAGCGACTGGCGTCGACAAGCGGGCCGGATCGGCACCAGAGCCCAACTACCACTGGCGAAGGTAGTGGCGACGGGCGGCGCCAAGCCGGCTGAACAACAGTCAACCCGTATAGTAAGGATGCGCAATAAGGATGCAAGGGACTTGGACGCCCATTTCGAAGCTTTTCGAGCGGGCCGCGGCCAACGAAAGCGGCCGAGAAGGCAAGGACGCAAGGGTACCCTTAGGAAGGCTGTCCATCCTTACTATGCGGGCTGACTGCAGCACCAGAGCTCCGCTATATCTTAGAAGACATGTAAGGTTCGGTCGGCATGTCCCCCTCTGCAGGCGGATTTGGGATGAAAAATTGGAAAATACAAATTAAAAGCCCACACATGCAAAAAAAAGAAAAGAGAAATCGTCCCCTGACTATTTTGTGATTAATTTTGGCTGTTCCTCCTGTAGAGGGACACGTCCGACTTAAAAGTAAGGAACCCTGAATGCAAGCACTCCGTGGAGAAGGCGGCGTCCACGCATTGCGCATGCACGCGCGTCCCCGGAAGAGCATCTTACATCCGCACATCCTTCTCGCGACGCAGCTTTCACACGTCGGTCAAATGATGCGACGAGTCTTGAGCGAAGAGGCTGGATGGGAGCCAGAGACCGCTGCCTCAGGACGAGCGGTGCCCCCAACTCACCATCGCTCCGACGTCCACTCCCCGTGGATGTTTCGGCAACTTGCTCCAATATGTTCTTCGACTGTATGTGCCGCGTATGTGCCGCAACTTGCTCCAATATGTTCTTCGACTGTCCCCGCCAGAAGAATGCACACGTCCGAGCGATGCCAAGCCAATGTCATAGGACGGGCAAGGATGGCAAGCGCGCGGCGCGCCTCGGCGGCGTCCCCAGGGCGCCCCGCACGAACGCCTGCACCGAGGCGACTGGGCTGACCTCGGAACTCAAACTCACTGAACCATCGCCGATCCGCGTCGAGACTACCTGAGCGCCGCGCCGTCCTTCACCCCGCAGCGCGTGCCAAACAACGGGGCGACCTGGAGAGGCGTTTCTGGAACGGAGCGGAGCGGGACGACAAACGTCGCGGGCGGGCGCTGCGCGGTGGACTCTCGCGCCAACACCCGCAAGCGCACCAGCAGGGGAAAGAGACGATGGGCACCAGGTGCTGCGCAGGAGCTGGGGGACCACGAGGCCACGGACGGCAGGCGACGAGCGTCGGGCCCCTGGCGGCGGGCCGCGCCTGCAACAGACCGCGCGCGCGACGGCAGGGGCCGCCGTCCACAGGCCAGGCGGCACAACCAGCGTGCCACGCGCCACGAGGGCGAAGCGCCCACGACTCCGAGGGGCAGGGGCCACGAGCGACGGAGTCCAGCGAGAACAAGAGTGATCAAAACAAGTAGCCGCGTCGAGCGAGTCAGCGGGCCCCGCCAATTCCCACCGTCCCTCCCAGAACATAGAAAGTCAAGCAGGGCACAATCCAAGGTTGCGACTGGCACGCCTTCCCACCTAACAAAGGGAAAGAACTCGCTCGCGGTCCCGCTCCCAACGACTTGGCGAGGGGAAAGAAACCCAGGACGCGTGCGAGCGGGAGCGGAACGTCAGAGACTCCTGGCTCGGCGTTGCGGCGATCGAACCACTCAGCCGATATGAGCGCCGCAAGAAGGGAGGCAGATGCCACGCCGAACAACAACACTTCCATTCTCGCGGCGCTTGGGCGAAGTCAACGTTGGGTCTGCTCTCGCGCGGCCCGCTGCTGGTGCCGCTTTCATCGATCCGGTGAGTGGGACGTGCGCCGCGCAAACGCGGGCACGCCACTTCCAGGCGAAAGCTGCGCGGCGCCGCCCCCCACGACTTGGCGAATGGAACAGGTGCGCCGCGCCGAGGCGGGGCCGCCACGTTTTGGCAACATCTGCGTGGGCCCGAAGCGAGAGCGACATCATTCGTCCGCTCACGCGTCGACGACTCGTCAAACGCGAGCAGTGGGCCGCGCCCTTGCGGGAGCTCAGGTCTCAGGAACAGTGGGCGCCGCGGCCGAGTCTGGAGCGGTAGTTCGCCCCGTCGAAATCCTGCCGCACACTTTGCAACGTCGCCGCACATACGTTCCTGTTGGCGAGGGAAGCGTCGATTCAATACAAGGTTTCCATGGGTACGCTGGGACCTCCGAGATCCAGTCTCTATCTGCCAGCTACGTACAATGGCAAATTGAGAAGGGGTCAGGGTAGGGAGGAGGCGGAGCATCACTAAGTGTTGGCAGCAGTGCGGCGAGCTCCGACTGGATCGACTTACTGTACGAGACTATGGGAACAACAAGCATCGGACTGTCCCACTGGCAAGCGGGTGGCCAAGTCCCCCAGTTGGTGGGCAATGGGAGACCACGGACCAGCGGCCGAATGACTCCGACTTTGGGGTCCCCCGCGGCTGAGGTCATGGAATGCCCTCCTGCCATTGCTGCGCGACGTTTCAAATAAACTAACCTGATGTTAAAACAAACTGCTGGGACGACAAACGACGGACGGCACCAACGCGGAAATGCGGATATGCTGACGAGGGCGCTGAAGACATTGACTGAACACTTAGTCTTGACGGTGAAACAACAACCGAGACACACAGCAAACATACAAGCAACTTCGACAATACATGTACGCACACAGCCACAACATAAGCGATCACGTCTGCTATACTGCCTGCCGTACTGCCAGAAACGATGATACCTGCGGCGAGTGCAATCAACATCACCTCACCTGATCGTCAAGCGTCAGGAGCGAAGGCCCCAATGCGGAAAACCTCTCACACGCAACATACACGTGATGACAGCCGCATGGACAGAAGGACAGAGCCGATGCTGGCTCGCATCGCCTGCGAACACACATGAGGCAATAACTGAGCTTTGAACTACTACGCCTGCCTGCACTCTCGCCAACTCTAGAAAAGCCTTGTGGGTGACGGGGTGACGAGATGTGATTCCGCGTTCGCCGAGCGCGTAGGGCTCCCAGGACGTTCGGCAAGACAGCCCCGGACATACGACGCCCTGAGAATTCTTCCGCACGGCGTCCCCGGAAGCCCTGACCCCTTGCCCGGGGCCGGTTTTTTCTCATCCGGAGCCGCTTTTTGGCGGTCCCGGGGGCCTGGTGAGGGCCCCCTCGGGGGCCGCAAGTGGGGAACAACTCGCCGTCCTGACTTGTGTACGACGCTCGTGCTTTTGATCCTGTGACGTTGCGCATGCCTGTGCGCGCCATGGAAAAGTCAGCAGTGCCCACGCGCCTGCAGTATGCATTGATGGAGCCATGATCTTTGACTACATGCACGGCTGTGTTCGAGGGAGTTGTTATGCCTGGTGTTCCTTGGGATCGAAACCTCCGCCCGATCCTGCCTGGGGCCATGCGTCCACCAGAAAAAAAAACACAAAAACAGCACAAAGCAAACCAGTTGTGTTTGTTTGTGTGTGTTTGTGTTTTTGTTGGTGTGTGTTTTTGTGTGTGTGTGTGTTTGTATGTGTGTGTGTGTGTTGTGTGTTTTGTTTTGTTGCTCTGTTTTTTTTGTTTGCTTTTTGTTTTTTCCCACAAAAAATCTCGCGCCAGCCTGCGCCTCGGCGTCGGGGCCCCGCTCTCCCCCGGCCTGCGCTGCTCGAGCGCCGCCCGGGGTCAGCCGCGCACGTCTGCTCCGCGCCGCGGCGCGTGGCGCTGGGCCCTCGCTCTCAGAGGACAGCGCCCCGCGCCCCCCTCCTCCCCTCCCCTCCCCTCCTCCCCTCCTCCCCTCCTCCCCTCCTCCCCCCCTCCCCCCCCTCCTCCCCTCCCCTCCCCTCCTCCCCTCCCCCCCTCCTCCCCTCCTCCCCTCCCCTCTTCTCCTCCCCTCTCCTCCTCCCTTCCCCCTCCTCCCCTTGCCACGGTTCGCAGGCGTCCGCGCCCCTCCTTCCGGCACACACCTCACGGGCTCTGAGGACGAGCGGGGAGCTCCTCCGAAGGTCCAGTGGCAGGGTTCGTGCGCCTCCGTGCCACTCATTTCGGTACGCACGCGCCCGCGCCTCTCATGTCGGCACACACACACACACCTCACGCGCATGGTGGCGTCACAGGAAACTCCACCGAAGGCCCCAATGGCAAGATTCGCGTGTTCGAATCACCCCTCACACGCTGCGTGGCCGGATAGTCAGCTCCGCCGATGGCCCCAGCGGCAAGATTCGCACACGTGCGCGCCTATCATTTTGGCACACACACACACCCACACACCCACACATGCTCGGTGGCCACACAGGGAGCTCCCCCGAAGGCCCCAGTGGCAGCGTTCGCATGAGTCCGCGCCTCTCATGTCGGCACTCACTTAACACGGTTCGTGGACCCGAAGGGAGCTCCATCGTAACCCCCCCGTGGCAACGTTCGCATGCGTCCGCGCCGCTGATGTCGGCACACCCCTCACACGCCGTGTGGCCCCATAAGGGGGCTCCATCGAAGGCCCCAGTTGGCAGCGCTCACACGCGTCCGCGCCTCTCATCCTTGCGCATTCTTCACGTTCCGTGGCCCCATCAAAGGCCCCAATGGCAGGGTTCGCATGAGTCCGCGCCTCTCATTTCGGAACAACCCTCACACGGTTCGTGCCCCCATCTAGAACTCCACCGGAGGCCGCAAAGGCAGAATTCGTATGCTACCACGCCTCTCATTCCTGCACACCCCTCACACATTCCGTGGCCCCATGGGGAGCTCCACCAGAGGCCCCATTGGCAGGGTTCACTTTCGTCCGCGCCTCTCATTCCGGCACACCCCTCAAACGTTCGTGGCACCTGTTGGGGCTCCACCAGACACCGAAGGCACCACCGGCAAGATTCGCACGAGCCCGCGCCTCTCAATCTGCTCGCCCTATCGGGAAATCGTGAGCCGATCGCAGCCACCTACCCACGCTGCCCTGCTCTCAGTCCTTCCTGCGGCGCTCTGGCTGTGAGGAGAGGGCCGCTTGCATCGTTATTCGTAGTCTGCTTGCCCCCTCTTTCGTTTCACCCGCCTTGGTTGGATCCTTTGCCAACATATCGTTACGCTTTGCTCCACGAAGTTCGATCATACCATCTCACGACACAATAGTTCAGCGATGGATCTGCCTCTATGCTGGGGAATACTAACATGGAAGAGTCATGAAGGGCCCTGCTTCACAGTACTTTCGAGCCTGGCGAATGTTGGGTTGCTGACAGCCTGATTTGGCACTAGTTATCTCTACAATCGCGACAACGCGAAAGATAGATGAGAAGCGTGCCACTGGAGGATCATCAGTGGGCCATCAGTGGGTAAAATTCTTTGTTGGGCGATTTGTGGGCCAAGCTTATGTGTGGGCCATTAGCTGTGCCTTTCGTGGGGCCATGAGTGGACCATTACTGGGCCATCTGTGGGCCAATCGTGTGGAATATGTGGGCCGTTCGAAGAAAATAAAAATAGCGGGGCATTTTGTCGGCAGCTGATATGTGAAACCCTCCCTGAGAAGAGCTGCACCTGCGACAAAGAGGGAAACCAGGAACTTGTGAGGCAAAACCTACTTCTGCACATGATTCGAACTAGCTAACGGTGAGCGATGCCGCTGGGAGGCTCGCGTATGCGCGGATCCCGCTGTCGCCAAAGACCAGAGCGCCGTCGGGCCCATCGAGGTCGACACAGATGCGGTAGTGCCGCCCGCCTGGGCGACGCGGCGGGCGGGGGTGGTAGCCGAAGCCTCTGGGGCAGGCCCTGGCCTCAAGCGACGAGGACCGCGGATGAAGGCCTGCGCCGGCACCGCTACCCGGCTACGCGTGGCCGCGTTTCCTGGCGCCCCGCGGCGCCGGAGGCGCCCATGTGTCGAGACCTGTGCCCAGCGGCGGGGCCAGCACCAGCTGCACGAGGCCGATCTCGTGCACCCTCTTTCCCGACCTGCCCCTCGCCTCCAGCCTGATCTCTCCACCGCACCTCTCCCTTCCCCCCTCCCGCCTCCGTGTGTGTGTGCGCGTGGCCAAAGTTGGTCCGCCCGCCATGAGCTGCCGATGCAGCACGCCTCTCGAAGGGGCAATTTGACTGCTCACGGTCCCACCCTGCTCGCGCGCCGACCGCACGCAAGGCTTCTGAACTGAGCTGAACTGAACGTTATGAGCTGGCGTCGCGCGCTGACCGCTTGAGCGGTGGTCCGCCTGATCGCCCCAGCTGGCGCCCCGACACTTCGCGTATAGCTTGGGCGTCGCCTCATGAGGGGGCGATAAACTGGGGGGGAAAGAACTGTGCACTTGTCGGTCCCTAAAGGCCCTCTTTGGGGCCCTGAAGGGCCCCTTTTCTGCAGCCCTGGCGTCCCCCCCCCCCCCAACTATCACCCCCCCATAACGCCAAGCCCAAGTCTAGCCTGCTCCTGAGACCTCCAGCAAAAGAGACAAGATGCTTCCAGCCCTCCTCCTGAGCGCGCCCCTGCTACGACCCCCACCGGCGGACATGTGATATGTGCACTCCCACATTTGCCACTCTTCCGGCGCTCTGAATGCCACAGACATCCACACGGGTGGTGGACGCGCTCGCGTCCAGCTGCGTGGAGCCAGCTCCAACGTAGCAAGCCCCCACCAAACAGTAAGCAACTGACTGCGAGGCGCGCCGACGCTCCGCGTCCCTGACCACGGCAGCGTAATTAGGCCGTGCTCCCGGCGCAGAGGCAGAACGATGCCCGCAGACGCGAGGCGCACGAATCCCTCGAGGGTGCTCCTCCAGATCTGCCCTCCTCCGCCAGATCACAGGGCGCATGCCAGGTGGAGCGCGGGCCGCGGTGAGGAGGGAAGCCCTCCCGGGAGAGGCTCGCCCGCCCGCTGTGCTGTCAGCTCTGCCAGGGGCCAGGAGCCCTCCACCTCCACCCTCCGAGCCCTGCTTCGCGGCAGGTGCCGCGGCAGTGTGGCCGCGCCGGCCGCCGAGATCACCGCTGCGGCCTCGGCGGCAACCGCTTCGGCGCGGCACCTGCCGCGCGGAGCATGCGGAAGGCGGAGCTCGAGGGAAGGGCCGGGAGGAGAGGCGAGCGCTGGGCGCGCAACGATGGCAGGCGCGCCTCTCCTCGCACTGCTCCGGCCTCTGCGGGTGGCGGCCGCGGCGTGGGGCGAGGCAGCCGCCCGACGCCGACGTGCCCTGCCCCACCGGGGGGGAGCGCGGCGGGAGGGCGCGGCGGGCGTGGGGGCCCGCCTGCGAGTCCGCTCGCATCCAGGCGCAGCTGGAAGAGGCTGCCGCTGCCGTCCAGCGCCGCGACCGCAGTGGACCTCGGCGCACCGCCGCGGGGGAGGGCCGCAAGGGGGGGGGGGGGCGCCGCCCTCCTCCGGGGGGCGAGGCCCTGCGCCGACCGACAGCAGGAGCCCGATCACAAGGGAGCCTTCCACGAGAGGCCCCACCCCGAGACCCCAGGGCGTCCGCTGAGCTCTGGCATGGGCACGTCACGCTCTCCACCGCAGAGCCATCGAAACCCAGGAGAGACCCAGGGCTCCCTGGAGGCAAGAGGGGTGCTTCCTGGCACGGGTGCCCACTGCATCACCCGGGGCGCCGATCTCCCCGGTGGGCGTTTCTTTTTGGTTCGGCGCTCCGACATTGAGCGATAAGGGGGGGGTGAGGGCGGGGGGTCTGGCTCCAGGCCTCTGCTTAGCGCGACTGCTTACAAAAGTGCGGCCTCCGGGGGAGACTCGAAGCGCTCGAGACAGGCGCCCCCAAACAACAGCCAAGCTCTGATTCACGGGGGAGGGGGGGGAAGTTGGGGGCCCGCGCCGATCGGCAAAACAGTGAATAAAAAAACGATCAGCAGGACCCCAGAGGGCGATGGATACTGATGCGGTCGGAACCAAGGGGCCCCAAACATGCCCATGTCCACCGCCCCTCGCAGGATCCAGGAAGAGCGGCGCCCAGGTGCGCCTCGGCCAGATGAGGCCCGCTCCAGGAATCTTTTACAACAAAAAGGGGGTATGTCGACCCCCATCCCAGGCTTTTGGAGATCTTCGAGTTGACCCAAACTTGTGGAGCCCAAACCTGGGGTACCAAGGTGTTTTAGGCCAAACTGTTCGGGCGGAGCTCGGGGACCGGGGGAAAAGCGATTGCACCTCCCCCCGCAGGGCACAACCTTCTCTTCTCCCGGCTTCCGCAGCCCTTTCCCCAGGGCTTTCGCCGAAGAAGAGATGCCAGCCTGTCGATCCTTCGAAGGCGAGGCCCTTGCCGGAGCGCCCAAAGAGGGCACCAGCCGCGGCGTGTGGTGGACAGCTTCCCGCACACAGGGGCAGAAGTCTGCGCGGAGTCCGAAGGAACGGGCGACAACGGGCCCCCCGAGAGGGGGGAGAGGGGGGGAAGCTTTCACGCTGGAGGCACCGGCACTCCAGGCAGGAGTTGACGCCCCCACTCTGGATCCATCTGGGCCCTGGAGGGCTTCTCCGAAGGGCTTAGGCGACCCGTCGCCCTCCTCCTCCTCCTCCTCCTCCTCCACATCCTCCTCCTCCTCCTCCTCCACATCCTCCTCCTCCTCCGCCTCCTCCCCCTCCTCCTCCTCCTCCTCCTCCTTCTCCTCCTCCTCCGCCTCCTCCTCCTCCTCCTCCTCCTCGACCCGCCTGAGACCCGCGACCCACCCGCGACCCACCCGCGAACCCCCGCGGCAGCCCCCCCGCGACCCGCCCGCGACCCGCTCGCGACCCACCCGCGACTCACCCGCGACCCACCCGCGACCCGGCCCGCGACCCACTCGCGACCCACCCCGCGACCCACCCACATTGCATTAACGACAAATTGGTGACTGTGGCGAGCCCGTTGTGCAACTTGTGGAAATTAGGCGCCTGCGGCGGGCTTCTTCAGAGCCTCGCAGGCTGCAGTCGTTCCCGCCCACCTCACTCTTATCCGCAACTGCGGGGTGCTACCCTTGTGTATATATCTTACACCGTAGCACCCCGATTTTTGTGTTGACACAATGCGGGTGGGTCACGGGTTGGGTCGCAAATGGGTCGACGGTGGGTCGCGGGTAGGTCGCGGGCCGGGTCGCGGGTGGGTCGCGGGTGGGTCGCGGGTGGGTCGCGGGGTGGCGCCGCGGGGTGGCGCCGCGGGTGGGTCGCGGGTGGGTCGCGGGGTGGGTCGCGGGGTGGGTCGTGGGTGGGTCGCGGGTGGGACGACGACAACAATCAACGATAACAACAACAACCATTTTACCCTCATGCGCGATGTTTCTACACCAAGCATGCGACCATCATGATAACCATCCACGTAATGGGGGACTCTTGTTCTATAGCGTGGTCCGTTATTCCCATTCCCAAATCTCCCGCACAATGAGGTCTTGCAAGCACCTCCTCCGAGGAATTTCAACATATCCCACCTCGAAAACATATGTCCGCGCCTTGCTGCGCCGATGCGACATCGCCAGTGAAACCCAAGCGAAGGGTAAAACACAAGGAACTATCGAACGACAGGGTTGCCTTGGTGGGGATGGGGGCCGTCGGCGCTGAGGCAAGGACCTGGCCCTAAATAGAAAGGGAGGAAGTCTCGAGCAGGGCTGCTGTTGTTGGGAGCGGCGCCAAGGCTGAAGAGAGTAGGGCGCTAGTCCAGCGTAAAACAAAGCGAAGTCTCGAGCGGGAGCGGCTGGTTTTGTTGGGACGGCGGCTTTCGGCGGCGAGGAGGAACACCGCCTTGAGTAAGAAAGGAGAAAGCCTCGAGCGGGAGCCGTGGTTTTGCCGGGGCGGGTTCTGTCGGCGGCGAGGAACGGCACCGTCCCTATGAACAAGAAAGGACATCTCGAGCGGGAGCTTTGTTCCTGCTGGGAGCGGCGCCAATTCAGAAGAGAGTTGGGCGCCAAGTCTCGGGCGGGAGCGCTGGTTTTGTCGGGGCGGCGGGTTTTCGGCGGCGAGGAGGAGCACCGCCTTGAGTAAAAACGGGAGGAAGCCTCGAGCGGGAGCCGTGGTTTTGTCGGGACGGTGGTTGTCGGCGGTGAAAAACAGCACCGTCTCCAGGAAAAAAAAGAAACCTCGAGCGGAAGCGTTGTTCTTGCTGGGAGCGGCGCCAATTCAAAAGAGAGTTGGGCGCTAGGCCAGCGTAAAACGGAAGGACATCTCGGGCGGGAGCGCTGGTTTTGGCGGGGCGGCGGTTTTCGGCGGCGAGGAGGAGCATCGCCTTGAGTAAAAAAGGGAGGAAGCCTCCAGCGGGAGCGTTGTTTTTGATGGGGGCGGCGCCGATAAGAGCAAGACTGGCGCGCGTGTCCAAGGTAAAACGGGAGGAAATCTCGAGCGGGAGCGCTGGTTTGTTAGGACGGCGGCTTTCGGCGGCCAGCAAAAACACCAACCCTAAGTCAAAAAGAAGGAAATCTCGACCGGGAGCGTTGTTGCTGTTTGGGGGCTGGTTTTGGCGGTCCCCCAAACCGCTCGAGCATGAGCTTCATTTTCAATGAAAATGTAGCCGGCGCCTCGGCGAGAGCGCCACAGCTCCTGTAAGGTGTCCAACAATAAGAATTCTTAAGTAATTAACACTCAACAGCAACACCACTACCACCACCACCAACAACAACTACAACTACAACGATAATTTTAAGAATGTTCTCTGTTATCTGCTCGCGTGTCGTTCAACATGCACTTCCCAAACTTTGGATACCCGCCCTCTTCGTCTTCGATCGTACCCCCTCTTCGGGGGTATATGCATTCCCTGCCACGTGTGGTTGGTGAAGCCTTTGAAAACGAAGGGTAACAGATAACGGGGGAGAATGAAGACGAATGGATCCGAGGGATGGAGGGGGCTGGCAAAAAGGAAGGAGGACGATGACTTGCGCTGTGAGTGGCGATTCGGCTTGCGCCAGGGCTTGCGCCAGCCACTTCAACCCAGGTTAACAATAATTTTCGACATGGGTCGCGCCATAAACACCGCCACGTACCACCCCCTTGAAAGAACATATCGTGGATACCCCCACGGGGGGGACGCACATTTGCGAACTGGCGTCAGAAACAAATTTCGTGGAACTCTGAAAAAAAAGCGTGATGTTTGGATCGTGAAACGGAAAGTTCATGAGAACTGCAACCGTTTCGAAAGGATCGCGAAAGCCCCAAGTGACAGCGCGATTCTTCCATACATTGTGAGGAACTATCAAGCGGGAGCCGCGATACGGTGGTAAATTGCAAGGAAGTCCCAAGCGAGAGCGCGATTTTTCAATACATTGTAAGGAAGTATCAGGCGGTAGCCGTTGTTGTAAACCGGGGGCCAACAACACAGTTTGACTCTCAAGACTTTCCCTGATAACAGAAAAACCAGGTGCGAACCCCGGGAAGGGCACTGCATTCAAAACATGTGCACTGGACGGGGGGGACCAACAATAATTATTCTTCAGAAGTGAGGATTCAGCAACAACATCAACAACAACGGAACAAACATAATCCTCACCATGGGTTCTCACTTTAGCCACGCACAAAGGGACAATGAATGACCGCTTACTCTGATATATATATATATATATATATATATGTATGTACACAGATACACGTCGCACGTGTATGTAGATGGGAAGGTGATGGGAGTGATGGGACGGTGGGGACGTCGGCAGTCTGCGAGACTCTGCGGAATCCCGCCGCAGGCGGTAAAGTTTCACAAGTTATACAACGAGCCCGCCGCAGGGACCGATTATTTCTGCAAACTAATGTAAATCGGTCGCGGGTGGGTCGCTGTTGTTGTTGGGGGGCCCGTTTCGGCGGTCCCCCAAACCGCTCGAGAGTGAGCCTCATTTTCAATGAAAATGCAGCCGGCGCCTCGGCGAGTGCGCTAGGGCGCCTCGGCGAGAGCGCCAGGGGTCCAACAACAAGAAACACTCAAAAGCAACAACAACAACAACAACAACAACAACAACAACACCACCAACAACAACAACAACAACAACAATAATTTTAAGACCGTTCGCCCTTAAATGCTCGAGTGTCCAATAACGTGTATTTCCCCAACCCTCGAAACCCGCCCTGTTCGTCTTCGATCGAACCCCGTTTGGGGGGTATACCTTTCTTCCCTGCAGGCCGGGGCCGGCAAGCGGCGGGGCGGCCGCGGACCGTCGGCCTGGCCAGCGGCAGCGCTGATCGGCGGGGCGGCCGCGGACCGTCGACCCGACCCGAAGAGGGACAGACAGGGGACCGACCACGACGACGACGACGACGACGACGACGACGACGACGACGACGTCGAAGGCGACGGCGACGACGACGACGAGCGAAAGCGAGAGCGAGAGAGAACGACAGCAGGGCCACGAGGGGCACGAAGTAGGCCACGAAGGGCGACA